TATTCTGTGTTCTGTGTTCTGTATTCTGTGTTCTGTATTCTGTGTTCTGTGTTCTGTGTTCTGTGTTCTGTGTTCTGTGTTCTATGTTCTGTGTTCTATGTTCTGTGTTCTGTGTTCTGTGTTCTGTGTTTTGTATTTTGTATTTTGGGTTCTGGGTTCTGGGTTCTGGGTTCTGGGTTCTGGGTTCTGGGTTCTAGGTTCTGGGTTCTGGGTTCTGGGTTCTGGGTTCTGGGTTCTGGGTTCTGGGTTCTGGGTTCTGGGTTCTGGGTTCTGCGTTCTGCGTTCTGGTTTCTGGGTTTTGCGTTTGCGTTCTGCGTTCTGCACTCTGCACTCTGCACTCGGGATCCAAAATGTCCTCGAGACCATGCATCACCGGTACTTAACACTTGCATCCATCGGCACTATTCATCGCCGCCAGCATTTATTACTAGTATTAATCATCAACATCCATTATCAGCATCAGCAGCATCAGCAGCATCAGCAGCATCAGCAGCATCAGCAGCATCAGCAGCCTTGTACCTCCGCCCCCCCGTCTGCACCAAGTTTCCAAGTGAGGTGGCTAAACTTGGTACGCCGGCCTTAGCACCAGCATGCAGCTCTCCTTCCCATCCCCAATAATCTCTCCTCCTCAGATGACTTCTTACGGCTTGCTTGTATAACCGATTATATCTAATAAGTCGCAAGTCGCCTTTCCCTTCTTTTTTTCTTGACATCTCTTCGTCTGTCTGTCTCCTTACCGGCTTATCTATTGCTTGTGCAAGATCTCTTTGCATCCCGTGTGACCCGCGTTCTTCTTTCCCTCGCTCCTGTCCTCTCTTCTCCGCACATCTCTGTCGAGGGGGTTTGCTCCGAGCAGCGCTGAGAGCACGTGCCACATTTCAAGAGGGCTCTCATGAACTCTCGTGGCTTCCTGGTCTTGGAAGAATCAACCTCCCATTTCGCTCCTATTTCCAAAGATGAGCGATCTCTTCTGCTCGGTCCTTGTTTCCTTTGTCCATTTTCCTTCGCTAAGCAAATTCTGGCCCACTTATATATTCGATAGCAACAATAGCAATAACAACAATAACAATCCACGATAACAGTCCACAACAACAATCCACAGCAACAACTACAACAACAATCCACAGCAACAACCATAACAACAATCCACAACATACAAGCCATTCAATCAAGTCTTCGTTTCTTCCACTTCATTCCCATTTCCAACTTTCCCTTTTGCATTTCGAGATCACTTTTGCTCAAGGTCCGAACGCGTCACGGGTTATAACACCCCACGGTCGTAAGGCTCCGCTAAAGGAGCTAGGGCTGCGTAAGTCCATCGCTCGTCGCAAAGTCACGGGTTTCGAACCGTTACGCCTTTAGACCCTCCATTTGTTCGGTCTCTTCGTACGGTTTACGCTTGCATGGCTGCGCTATTAAGGAGGGTCTTGCAGATAGGCTATGGCTGGGTCAAGTTAAGCGACATCGGGCGCGGGTTATTATTTTGCCGGTGTAGGAGATGGATGAGAATGTTTTGTTTGTTTTGATTTTATTTATTTCTAAGTATATCTGCTATTGGACGTGATGATGAAGGATGTGCCGGGCAAGCTTAAGCCGGCGATGTTTATACCGGCGAAGCCCAGGAAACCTAAGCCGGCGATGGTCATGCCGGCGAAGCCCATGCCGGGCAAGCTCAAGCTAGTGATGTTTATGCCGGCGAAGCCCACGCCGGGCAAGCCCAAGCCGGCGATGCTTATGCCGGCGAAGCCCAAGCCGGCGATGTTTAAGCCGGGCAAGCCCAAGCCGGCAAGCTCGAGCTAGCGATATTTATGCCGGCGAAGCCCAAGCCGGGCAAGCCTAAGCCGGCGATGGTTATGCCGGCGATGGTCATGTCGTTGACGGCCGTGCTCCTGGCCCTGATGCTCCTAGCCCTGATGCTGCTGGCCCTTATGCTGCTGGCCCTCATGCTGCTGGCCTTGATGCTGCTGGCCTTGATGCTCCTAGCCCTGATGCTGCTGGCCTTGATGCTGCTGGCCCTTATGCTGCTGGCCCTCATGCTGCTGGCCCTGATGCTCCTAGCCCTGATGCTGCTGGCCTTGATGCTGCTGGCCTTGATGCTCCTAGCCCTCATGCTGCTGGCGCTGCGGCGCTTTAAGATGGAGCGCTTAAAATGGAGCGCCTATAAATAATAGCTAATGCAGCTGATAATCACGACGGAGTGCTGATTATTAGATATGCTCAAGTGATAGACCTATCACGTATCAAGACCTTTCCAGATGTATAAATAGAAGGCCACTCCTTAAGTTCAAACAATCAAGCAAGAAATCATTCACTCATCTCTGTTCCCCGTGTTACCGTTCAATACGGATGATGAAGTACTGATAAACCATTTCCTTATTTATATAAGCCGCTCAGCTATACTTTCGATACATATTTTCCAGATCTTTTCTTGAAATAAACACTTATTCTCCGAACCTCTAACGCCATTAATCTCCGTAGCCTTTTCATCTTCGTCTTTCGTATCAAGCGTTATAAGTCCGTCATCTCTGGGCCTAATATAGTATATGCAGCCCGTAGAAGTTTATCGTTTTCGACGATCTCGTCAAAGTCCGAGGTAAGAAGAATAAGATGCGATAAGATCCGGCTTCTTTGATGGAGATATACGAATATTAAAAATCCAGCACCGGATATCAAGGCAACGTATAATAAAGACTATAAAGAAACATCTGGCGTGGCGATAGATGTTGAGGTCGAAGTCCTAGATGTGGCAGATGATACGTAGAATGCCACCGGGCAAGTCGAAGGGAGAAAGACTGGCGGCGTAATAAAAGTTACCGACGAAGGCAATGAAAAGGGTGTTGCAGAAATAGCTGTGACGGAGTTAGTGGTATCTGTCGACGGCTCTTGCAGCGAGGTAAGACCTGGTATAGAGATTATTCGAGGCATCTGTTGAAAACGGTCTATTCATTAATTGATTTCTGATATGTATATCGCTTTACGGACGTCAGATGCGCCTCGTTCCTTTCAAGTTATAATCAAAATGCAAATACATGCGTTAATTATCGGCGTGACGGTCATTACGAGCTGCACAAGATAGAAGAGACTCGAGACCATCGAAGTTGCGATGCAAAAGAAGCTGACCAAAGTTAGAAATCTTGCGAGAAAAGCAACGCAATAGCAGCAGCAGAAACTCTTCTATAGATTTCCCTTCGAGGAATAGATATAAGGATGAGAGCGACAAGCATCTTTCAAGAGGTTCTTAATATCAGCCGTCGTATTCGGCTGAGAACCAAGCACAATGCTTATAGCGGGAAGTTCCTTAGTAGTACTATCTCTCGCCGGAGCTCTCTTTTCGATTGCTACTCGAGGCTTTGCGGATGTGGAAGCTTATGCGTACCGACATCTTCATATAGCTGCCATCTTTTCCTCTATTAGGTCGTGAATGATAAGCTAGAGTCCAAGGGCGGCATGATGTTCTGACCAAGAGGTATCCTAATCCAGGGTGCCCAGACGTAGATAGAGTGGAGCTTGTACCATCCTTCGATGTCACCGTACTAAGTCATCCCGTCGTCGATCCTGGGAGAAGAGAGGAGTGCTAGGAGCGTGTAGAGCTCGTTGCTAAAGAGCTTTAAGTTGATGTAGATAGGTTCTGTTAAGACGGGCAGTGGGCCGGTACGGAAATCGAATGGCCAGTTAAAGAGCGGAATAGTGTCAGACTATTAGCAGGTATCTCGTAAAGTAAAAAGGAGGTTGATAATTAAAGTTGTACCGGAATTTCCGAAGGGGGATAGGATGTTTTTATCGTCGGCATTGGTCCTGGCCAGCTGTTTAGAAGAACACGACGAACACGACACGACGGACACGATACGACGAACACAACACGACGAACACAACATGACGAACATAATAAGATTAAAATGATAAGACCGATATTAAGGGGCGAGATTTACACGACTAAAATAATACGACTTGAATTACACGGTTAAAGTCAAGAATCAGACTGACAGGACCAACATGATAAGAACAGGGCTAGAATAACACGACCAAAATTACAAGACCAAAATAGTAAGGCCAAAACAATAAGGCCAAAACAACAAGACCAGAATTACAAAGCCAAAACAATAAGACCAAATAACAGGACCGGATACAGCCAGAGTATAAAATCAAATTGATATGACCAGAATGACAGAACTAGGATTACACGGCCAAAGTACAAGATCAGATTGACAAGACTAAAATAAAAAGACTAGAATTGCAAGACCAAAACAACAGAATAGCACGACGAAAATGACAAAGAAATAAACATAACAAATAAACGAAAGTAATCGAAATACCGAACGGTGAAAATAATTGGTCTGATAATCACTCCGCTTTCACAACCTACACTGCTTTAAAGCATATATACAGCTTTTAGCCTTCTAGAAATAAATTACTATCTATTATCTTTATATCTTTACTTCTCCACATCTCCACACTTAACGCTTAGATTCTTAAGATGGCCGCAAAAGCCTTACTAATACGTACTTGCTTTCATCCTCGACTATATCTAATGATTAACCAGCTCTTATAGAGATTATTCGGCCTCGACCTATCAATCCTCCAATCCAACACCCGCGCCTACTTCGATCCTAACGAAATGGACATAGACTTCTTCTGCATTAAAAACAATCACTTTTAGAACTTCTTCGCGACAATCAACCGCCTTATTATTATTAACTTCCGCACTTACAACATCCGCAAGCTTTACGAGATATTTAGCTTCGATTACGAGATTCTTAAGAGCGCCGTTAATCACGAGGGCCAGCTATCCTTCCGATATTGGATATGAAGATCAAGTCGAAGATTACTCGATACTAGAACAAGCTTTAAAAAGCCAGCACCGCCGGATCAGCTTCGACTTCGGCTTCGAGCGATTCGAATCGTAAGCGGAGCGAGACATTTAACGTCGTTATTATTAACTATCAGCTATACATGTACGTAAAAGATGTGTATAATCAAGAAAAGAAAGCACACGCTAAAGAATTGTCTCGGCTAATATCATTAACGCAAGCTGAAGCAATCCGGTCGGGTAATCGAAGAGTTCCTAAACCCAAACACCGGTAAGATGATTCATCGCCGCCGCGACCACCACCAGCAGCAACAAAACGCCGACCGTCCCACTCAGCGCGCTTTCTCTATGCTCGCCGTCGATTTCGGTCTCGCCAAATCTTACCGTACCTCGTCTATGCTCGCGGCCGATATCAACCCCGCTAAGTCCGACATGTTGCGAGTATCTCGTGCAAGCAGCGCCGGTGCCGAGGATCAAGACGATTACGAAATTCCATTCGACTTTGCTCTGTGTAAAAAAAGAGCATAATTGATCGTCAGATAAGCTTAGATACGATCTTAATACCTCTTAGCTTCGCATGTACTTTTCTACCCGACAAGTACGTAATCTAGTCATACATCTACTATTTCTTTCCTTCATCCTTTCGCCGAACAAAGAACAGCGGTATCCAAAACGATCGCTATCGCCGTCAGCCAATCCGCCGTCAACTTACTCAGATCCTTCACATTGGACAGCTCGCAAGAGAACACTACGACGTAAGATAGCTGCGCGGATGCGATATCGTAGGTGAAGGTTACGATCCGAAGGGTAGAAACCGTGAAAGAAACGATGCGGGTCTATAAGTATATCAGTGCAAGTCTTATAGCTCCAATAAAAGAATAAGAGAATGCGTACCGAGTATCGAGCCGTCGCGAGAGCCGAGTCCTTGGAGGAATATATAGCCTTGCCGAGAAGATAGCAGGCGCAAGACAGCTCCGACGGGAGGAATGCCGCTTTCGGTTGAGGGGGAGTGGCGATCCGATTGACATAGATAATCGCGCCGTAAAGCACGCTCGGGCGGCTCGTGCTATACAAGATTGCGTCGGCCGACCAGATACGAGAGTCACCGTTTCTCAAAATGCTATCGAAAACGGAATCGTCGGTGCTATGATCGGTATCAATTAGTTCCGAAGAGCATAGGTCTGGCTTTCAAGGGACTTACTTGCGAGCGGCGCAATCGGAGATCTGGGTACGAAAGACGGCCCAAGAGCACTTGATACAGGTATTTACAAAGTACCACGACCATTCCTTGCCCGGCATCCAAGCTCTGCCGTGAAGAAGGTAGTCCAGGCGATCCTCTGGATCGAGCTTGATGATCTGGGCAGAGGCGGGTGAAAGGGTATATGATGATGACTCTAAGGTGCCCCGAATCTCGGGGAGCTGGAGCCATTCTGTCATCGAGTATGTCTTGCGGATGTTGGTCACGACGGCGCTCAACTGGGTCACGGCGGTTTCCATATCTTGTGCTTTGGTGCTTGGTTGCGCCTCTCCTTTCCGAGCTGGAGCCGCAGCTGGAGATGCGCCGACGGCGACGATGTCCTTGTCCTTGTCTTTGTCCTTGTCCGTGTCCTTATCCGTATCTCTATCTCTATCTCCATCTCTGTTGCCATTCTCATCCTCGTGGTTCTTCGCATCTCCATCTCCGCCTGCCGTCTCGTCTTGAGTCTTGTCCTTGTCCCTTGGATTTTTCGACCCGCCGAGATTCTCTTTGTTGCTGAGCCTCCGGCTCTGGCTCTGCCATGGCTGGTGTGCGCCGGGCTGCTGCTTGCCCTCGTCCTTGTCTCTGCTGCCGCTGCCGCTGCCGCTGCCGCTGCCGCTGCCGCTGCCGCTGCCCGCATCCTGTTTCTTGCTCAAGGCCGAGGCCGGCGTACCCGGGATGTTGCGATCGTATAAGCTTGGCTGGAGGACGGATGTGGTGGATGTCGTCTTGCGTATCGATCTGGACTTCGGCGGAGAGGGTACGATCCGTAATAGATCTGACATAATCGGGCGGAGAGCTGTCGAAGAGATGATGGATTTGGGGGTGGGGGTTTGGGAATATGGTCGAGGTAGTCGAGGTGGTCGCAGGAGCAGAAGAAGGGAGGGGGGGTTGGAGATGGTCGAGATGGTCGAGATGGTTGAGATGGTCGAGATAATTAAGATGGATGGAGCCGCGTCGTGATTCTTGTTTTGATTTCTCGAGGGGCTCGTCACCTCGGTGACCAGGGCGGGCTGGGCGGGCTGGGCTGGCTAGCTCTCCATCTCACCGCTTCTATTCTGCCACCACCATCACATCCGTCGGTGCACATCTGCGCAGATGCAATCTGGGGCAAAGCAGAGCCGGGCCGGGCTAGATACAATACTCAAGTAGTGCTGACTGATTGATATACATTATTTACGGACCTATTATCAAAACCAAATGCATCTATTTTTCTCCGCCGCTATCCTTGGTCTGTGTTCCACTATCCTGCTATCTTAGCTATCTTACTTGGCCGGCGCGGCCCGAACCTGACCCGTCCCACGTACATGACTCTATTTACTTATTTAGGTATTTATTTACTACGTATTTAACTACTTATCTACTTATATACTTATGTACTTATGTACTTACGTGCTTGTGTACTTACGTGCTTGTGTACTTATATACTTATGTACTTATGTGCTTATGTACTTATGTACTTACGTACTTATATACTTATATACTTATATGCTTATGTACTTATGTGCTTAAGTATGTACTTATATGCTTATATACTTATGTACTTATATGCTTATATACTAATGTACTTACGTACTTATGTATTTATATACTTGTGTACTTATGTACTTATATACTTATGTACTTATATACTTATGTACTTATGTACTTATGTATTTATGTACTTATGTACTTATATACTTATGTACTTATATACTTATGTA